ATTAGATCATTCTAAAGCAGCACAAATTAAAATGGAAGATTTTTGATTCCTTTAGTAGGAAAGTGGAACATGGGAAATCTCTTCTCTAGTCTTTAGGGCATGATGGTTCAGACTGTATACATTTGTTCACATGACGTGGGCATCACTGGCTAGACCAGCATTTACTGCTGTCGAGGTGGTGCTGGCAAGCTGCCTCCTTGAATCACTGCAGTACTTGTGGTATAGGTATATCCGCATTGGCTAGGGTAGGAATTCCAGGGTTTTGACTTGGTCACCAAAAGAACGATACAATATATTTCCAAGTCATTGGAAGGGATCTTACAAATGATGGTATTCCAATGTGCCTTCTCTCCTTGCTGGCTGACCCTGTAGAGTGTCTGGTGGTTGATATCCCCCAGGATGCAGATATAGATGCAGATTCAGCGATAGTAGTGTTGTGTTTAAGATAGGAACATTATGCTTTTTTTACTGTTAGAAATAAATCTTGTGTTTTGTTTGTGGTACTGAATTGGAGCGAAATAATGCCAACAGGCCATCAGTTTGCTTTCACCCTGTTATTTTTGGAACAGATGCTTATCTCAGAGTTATTTAGGCATCTCCAAGAGTAGTTCAAGATTTAGACCGGAACACACAGGAGCAGACATAGGCCATTTAACCCATCAAGCCCACTCTGCTGTTCATTGAGATGATGGCTGATCTGCAGATCCTCTGCTTTCCTCTCTTTTTCTGATAACTCTTGATTCCCTCGCTGATTAACAACCTGTCTATTTCAGCCTTTAATATGCCTAATGATCCAGCTTCAACAGATTCACTACCCTTAAAAGCAAGAAATTTGTCTTCATCTCTGTCTTAAATTGGTCCATAAGGTCCTAGACACACTTAAAGGGAACAGCTTTTCCCCGAAGACTATTGTATGTTTCAATAATGTCACCTCTCAACCTTCTAAACTCCTATTAAGTAAAATCCCAAACTATTCATCTTTTGCTTATAAGACAGTCCATCCATACTCTCGACAAACCTAGTGAGTCTTCTCTGGGCTGCCTTCTATGCTAATATACATCTTTTCTTGGGTAAGGAGATCAGAACTGTTCACAATATTCCAAGTGTGCTCTGATGAGGTTGTATAGTTTTAGAAAGACCACGCTGTTTTCACACAGAAGTGCATTTGAACTAAAGGCCAACATTCCACTTAGCTTCCCTATCACCCATTGAACTTATGCTCACTTTTTGAAGTTTGTGCACAAGGATCCCCAAATCCCTCTGAAGCTCTCTGTAGTCTTTCTTCGTTTAAATAATATTCAATTTTTCTATTTCTCCTGTCAAAGTGCGTAATCCCGCATTATATTCCATCAGCTAAGTTTTTGCCCACTCCCTTAACCTATTTTCCTCTGCAGAATCTTCAGGCTAATTACTTGACTTCCCACCTATTTTTGTCATTCACAAGCATGTCCATGTAAATAATTATGGCCTCTGCATCAATCCTTGTGGCTCTACAGTAGTTACAGGTTGCCATCCTGAACGTAACACCCTGACCATCTCAACTCCATCTTCTATTACTTAACCATTGTTAAACTAATTGGTTAGCAATTAGTCAAATTAGTTATCCCATTCTCTGTCCATGCTAATGTTGTACCGCCCATAACACCATAGACACTCATCTTATTAAGTAGTCTTTTGTGCACTACTTTACCAAATTCCATTTGAAAAACCAAATATATTACATTTATTTGTTTCCCTTTGTCTATTGTGCTTGTTAAAGTTGTCAGGCATGATTTACCTTTTGTGAAGCCATGCTAACTCTGCTTAATTATATTATGTTTCTAAATGTGTTCTCATTATGTGTTTCATAATAGACTGTAACACTTTTCCAATGACAGTTGTTAAGCTAATTGACCTATAGTTGACTATTTTTTGTTTCCCTTCCTTTTTATCTGAGGATGCTTTAGGTGGGGACATCATAAAAGGCCGTGTGATACGGCTGTGTCTCCAAGACAATCTCCTTTAACAGATGGCACTGTGTTTGAGGAGAGTGGACTTTATGGAGATGTTTGTCAAGTCTGTTTGCAGACTCTGTCATCCTTGAAATCCTGTTATTTCCTGTGTTATGTTGCCACATACTTTTGATAAAATGAACTTTCTTTGTTTTGGCTGGGGAGATGCTGAAGAGATTAAAATAGTTGCATGCAAGAAAACTTCACAATTTGGCAATATACAGTATTTCTAAGACAAAACGTTTGGTGATTCAGCTGTAATTATTTCTCACCCTCTCCAAGATGATGAAGATTGTACATGCCTGTGTAGTTATCCAGGAAATAGGAGCAGGAGTAGGCCAATCACCCCTTCAGGCCTGCTCCACTATTCATTATGATCATGGTTGATCATCCAACTCAGTAATCTGTTTCCACTTTTCCCTCCTATCCTTTGATTCCTTTAGCCTCAAGTGTTATATCTGAATCTTCCTTGAAATCATACAATGTTTTGTCCTTGACTATTTGAGAATAGCAAATTTCACAGACTTACCACTCTCTAGATGAAGAGGTTACTTCTCATAGAATCATAGAGTTGGCCAACACAAAAACAGATCCTTTAGCCCAACTTGTCCATGCCAACCAGGTTTCCTAAACTGAAATAGTCCCATTTGCCTGTGTTTGGCCCATATGCTGCTTAACCTTTACTGTCCATGTACCTGTCAACATATAATCTCATATTTCATAATTCTCAGTTTCTTAAGATCTCTGGCAACTATATCACTTCATTCATTCATTCATTCATTCATTCATTCATTGGCAGACCCTCGCAGACGAGGATGACTCTCTTCCGCTTTCGGGGTGCGTCTCTAGGTGGGTTTACAGACTGATGCAGCTACTGCAGGCTCTCTTTTATACTTGGGCTGGAAAGGCTAGGTGGGTTTTTGGTGTGGCAGTGCGCTCCTTTTGCTGTTGTTTGCCTGGCTTCCACTTTTTATCACTATCTCACTAACTGAGTCGTGGTGGTACACTAGGCAATGCCCAAGTGTCCATGACGCATTCTTTTCAATGCGCTTCCCCAAGGGAAGCATGAATGACTAGTCTTGTGCTACACTGTCATACACTATTAAGTTGCCTATGAACGTCAAGTGTTGTTGGTGCTCAAAGTATTTGTTCTCGGCCAACTCAGTAGATTCTTGATTTGGCCATCCTTTAATACAATGATGAATGGTGGCAGTGTGTTGGTCACTTGTTTTATCTTGTAAAATTTAGTTGTCCCTCTTTTTGCCTTGCTAAACACTTTTTTTCTTGGCCATATGAAACATTCCATTATGCTGCTGTCTTAACCTTAAAAAGATTCTGCCTTCTCTTTGAGTTCTGTTGAGAGTTTTGGAAGCCTGAAAAATAATTTTACTGTTTATCCCTTGACTCGTTCATTGATAGCAGTTTAGTTTTGGACCTCCTTTCAGTCCTAAGTGGTTTACCCTATATTCTGAAACTGTGACCCCTGGTTCTGGACTTCTGTCATCGAGAACATCCTTCCTGCATCTAACTTGCCTAGTACTGTGAGAATTTAATAGGTTTCTGTGAGATCCCATCTGATTCTTCTGAGCTCTAGAGACTATAGTCCTATCAGCTTCAACCAGTCCTCGTACATCAGTCCTGCCATTCCAGGCAAATTGTCGCTGCACTGCCTCTATATTAAGGATATCCTTCCTAAAATAAGGAGACCAAAACACTACACACTATTTCAGGTGTGGTCTCACCAAGGCCCTGTGTAATTGCGGCAAGACATTCCCTGCTCCTGTACTTGAATTGTCTAGTTATGAAAGCCAATATACCATTTATAGCCTTGAGCACCTGCTGCACCTGCATCCTTACTTTCAGTGCCTGGTGTACATGACCACCCAGATCTGGTCGCACATTCCCTCCTCTCAGTTTATACCCATTCAGATAATCTGCCACCTTGTTTTTGCTCCTAAAGTAGATAACTTAACTACGTTATGCCGCATGTGCCATGCATTTGCCCACTTAATCAACTTGTCCAAATCAAATTGAAACATCTGTCTCCTCCTCACAGCTCACCCTACCACTCAACTTTGTGCCATCTGCAAATGTGGAGATATTACATTTAGTTCCCTTGTCTAAATCATTGACATATATCGTGAACAGCTGGGGTCCTAGCACTGATCCCTGCAGTAACCATTAGTCACTGCTATAGAGAAAAATGACCTGGTTATTTCAACTCTTTGTTTCCTGTCAACGTACCAACCATCCAAATACATTACCCCCCCAATTGCTTTAATTTTAAGCACTTGTCTCTTACGTGACACTTTGTCAAAAACCTTCTGAAAGTCCAAATAACCACATCCACTTGCTCCCCATTGTCAACTGAGAGTTAGTCCTCAAAGAATTCCAGTAGATTTGTAAAACATGATTTACCTTTTGTAAATCCATGCTGACTGTGTCCAATCCTGCCACAGTTTTCCAGGTGTTCAGGCATTATATCTTTTATTATGGACTTGAGCGTTTTTTCCTGACTACCAGTGTCAGCCTGACTGGTCCATAATTCCCGGTCTTCTCTCTGCTTAAATAGAGAGGTTATGTTAGCTACCTACCAGTCTGTAGGAACTGTTCCAGTTTCTGTAGAATCCTGGAAGATGACCTCCAATGCATCCACTACATCTGGGGCCACTTTTTTAAATACACTTGGATGTATAGTATCAGGTCCTGGGGATTTATCGGCCTTAAAATCCCATCAATTTCGCCAACACCATTTCCCAATAAATCCTTCGGTTCCTCCCTCTCACTAGATTCTGTTCACCAACAGTTCTGGTATGTTATTTGCCTCCTCCTTTCTGAAGGAGCAAATAGTCGCAGTTGACTTTTCAAAACTTAAGACTGCAGTGCAAGAGATCAATCAAATTGAGTTAGCCAAACAGCTATACACTTCAAATTTAATCAGTCAAAATTAGTTTTGATTCTAATTTAAGTGCCTAAATAAATATTAAAGTTTAATTTTTCTTTCTCTAGATAAGTTCGACCAGTTTTGGGCCATCAATCGAAAACTTATGGAGTATCCAACAGAGGAAGGAGGGTTCCGATATGTTCCTTTCAGGATATATCAGGTAACAGCCTTTACCGTGTAATAGATATATCACAGCTTATGTGCTTTTCTTTCGTAAGGAGATTCTCTACTTCTTTATTTCTGCAAAGTTTGAACTAGTTCATTCCTCTGTTTTAGATGTTTGAAAGCACTTAGGAAAGCTTAATTTAGTTGTTGCTTTAGTGTGGTTAGCCAATCATATAAAAGAAACTGCTGTTTTATTTTTACTTCTGATAGAAATTTGATTTGACCCAGCATGTTCTGTTGCTTCCGATGCCGTTCTGTGAGCTGTCATTTTCGTCTAGCAATCGATCATTTATTTGTAAAGGAGTGTACCTGCTGTCTTGCAACAAATCAAAGCAATTCAAGAAGGCAACTCACCACAACCTTCTCAAGCAACTGAGAATGGACAATAAATGCAGCTCCCAGCCAGCGATGCCTGTATCGTGTGTTGTTTTTTTTTTTAAAAAATCTGTGTATTATATTTGTATTTAATATCAGATCAGATTTGATGAGCTGACATGCCTCCCTTTATCGTGTTTTATATTATGATTGAAAGAGTAGCGTTTTCTAAAATTAAATGTGCATTAATTTTTATTTTGCATCTCATATTGTCTCTAAATACACGGCTGTTAGTGTGCTTTGGTGAAAAGAGTGAACATTGAAGCTGATGGATGCCAATCCAGTAGCTGCTTTGTCCTGAATGCCACCATCTAGGTAGCAATCTTTCTACGTGGATGTGTATAAAACAAATTATTAATCAAGTCACTGCCACGTGTGATAGAATTCAAATGTTTTCGGCTAGATGTGTCAAGTGGATGATCCACCTGTTTCCCTTGAGGCTCCCGCCATCTCACATGCTAGTCTTCAACCCATTTAGGTTACTCTACATGATACCAAGAAACAGTTGAAAATATTGGATACACCATTGGCAGGATCCTGGCAGTTGTATTGAAGACTTGGTACTCCAGAACTTGCTGTACTTTAGCCAAGCTAGTATTTAACCAACTTATTGGAATTCTTTAAAGGAGTAACATGTGGTGTTGATAAAAGGAGTCAACTGATGTACTGTATTTGGATTTCCAGAAGTTATTTGACAGGATGCCAAATTCAATTTTTACAGAGTTAGAGTTCATCATATAGGGATAACATACTAACATAGAGGAGAGCAGACTAGGGATATGTTTTCAAGGCACTGGTTGGAAGAGTACATCTTGTAATGAGCATTTTTTTGTGAAGAATGAAGATAACCCTAGCAAATGGATAACCTATTATTTGGAAATATTATAGACAAATTGTTTGGAACATCTAATTAACATTTACAAACTGCTAAATCAAAGGCAGTCAAAACTTTGCATGGTGTACTTTACAATTAAAATATTTAATTTTGTGTAATTTTGAATTGTCAGTTCTTCCATTCTAGTAATTTGAATTTAGGCTGAAAGCTGTTGAGCAACTTTTTCAGCAGCTTATTTGACTTTGGAGTCTGTCAGCATGTTTTTAAACTCAAGTATCATGGATTAATCTGCAAAGTTGCATTTTCACTAAGCACAACTGACTCATGAAACTAGAATGAACAAAAAAGAGGAAGTGCAGAACTCAATATAGGAAAGCAGACTGAAGTAACTTATGTGTAAGTGGTTTGCTGAAGTTCTTGGTAGTCAATGATATATATGGGGTATTCTGCATTTCCTTTGGTCTTCTAAGTCCTCTCTTAGAGTAAAGGAAAGTGTATATTGGTCACTTCCCGTAAAAATAACTGTGTGCCATTGATCAGATACTGTTCCTGGAATCATTAAAATATTCCACTTATTAGAATAGCTTCTTATTTTGCCTGCATTTACTGCCATCACAACTGCAGGGGGTGCACTCACCACCCATGCCTGTATAGTTGCCTGCATCTAAACATGTTCCTTGCATGTGAAGTTTGCCAGAAAATCTCCCTTCCCATAATCAGACATGCTGAATTAGAAACTTTGATAAATTTGCCCCAATTTTTTAAAAAGCGCCCATTTATAAAGTCTGCACACAATTTTTTTTTTATCCAGAAGAACCTTTAGAAAGACCCCTTGCTGCTCCACTCCTGAAAGTAGCAGCAAATGGCGACAAGTGAAGCAGAGAACAAGAAGTCAAGCAAGAGGCAGTAGCCAGAGATGCACAACGACTTCAGCACAGACCTCCTGTTTCAGCATGTTGGCAGACAATAGTGTTTATAGTTATTTTATATCAAACTAATTAATTTCATTTGTTCGTTTATGGAATGTGGATGTAGCAGGCTCGTCCAGCATTTAGTGCCCATTTGTAATTCCCCTGACGAAGGCGGTGGTGAGCTGCATTCCTGAACTCCTGCAGGCCTTGTGGTGTAGAGATGCCCACAATGCTTTTGGAAGTGATTACCAGGATTTTCACCTAGTAGTAGTGAAGGAAGGGCGATGTTATTCCAAGTCTGGATGTGTATATATTGGAGGAGAACCTGCATGTGGTGGTATTCCCATGCATCTGCTATCCTTTTCCTTCTAGATGATAGTGATTTTGAAGATGCATTTGGAGGAGTTTTGGTGAGTTACTGCAGCCCATGTAGATGGTGTGCTGCCGCCTTTGTACTGGTATGAAGGGGGAGAATGTTCAAGGTGGTCAGTGGGGTGCCTGTCAAGCTATCACTTTGTCCTGGATGATGTCAAACTTCTTGATTGTTATGGAACTGCACTCTTTCAGGCAAGTTGAAAGTATTCATCATACTCGTGCCTCGTGCTTTGTAAATAATGTACTGACATTAGAAAGACAGGAGTTCTTGTGAGAATTAGTTACTGCAGAATTCTTAAACTCTGACCTGTTCTTGTGGACACAGAATTTATATGGATAGTCCAGTTCACCTCCTGGCCCATGGTGACTCCCTTGTTATTAGTAGGTGAGTCAATAATGGTAATTTGAGAGTTGAAGGACGATGATTAGGGTTGTGGACAGGATTGTGTTTGCCATTGTTGTTTCTGGCTCCTAGGTTAATGCAAGGTGGTCCATCAGATTTTATTTCTTTCTTTAGATTTGGTAGTGCCTTCACGGAATTGGATCTGAAGTCCCCTGTAAGGGTGGCAGATTTCCTTTATTAATGAACAGTAGAAAACCAGATGGATTTTTATGGTCATTATTAGGCTAATTTTTAATTCTAGCTTTTATTGAATTCAAACTTCACAATCTATTATGGAGATATTCGAATCCATGTCCCTAGAACATTAATCTGGGCTTCTGAGTTACTAGTCTGGTGCCAATATCACTATGCCAATGCATCACTCAAATGAATAATTTGAGTTCTTTTAATCTGTCCTCTCCAAGGATGTCCCTAATGATGAACATATTTATGCACACCACGCATTCAGAAAGTAAGTACAATCTGTGACTAATTGCATGTTGTATCTGGAAGTAGTATATGATGTAATCTTCATTTTAATATCATTTTACTAGACCGCTGTCATCACCATCCTGTTGTTCAGTGCAGAATCCTGGCTTTTCCACAGCTGTGGAATACTTTAATCAAGGACTCCTGATCATAAGAGCAGAGTTAGGCTATTTAGCCCATCAAGTCTGCTCTGCCATTTGTTAAGATCGTGGCTGAGCCGATAATCCTCACTGCACCTCCCTGCTGTAGTGACTGAAATGAGGGCCAGATGGATCTCATTGGCTTGAAATCTTTGATTGGGTTATTAACCTGGGCCAATCAGGGAGCCCTGGCTGACAAATATAAGCAAGAGATTCTGTGTGTCCCCCCATTCTGGGGACTGGCTCTGTGAATCCCCTGTTCATGTCTGTCAGCTAGGACTTCCTGATTGGGGTTGTTAACATGGGCCAATCAAGGGTCTCATAGTCAATGAGATCCACCTGGCCCTCATTCTAATCACTACACTTGTCTTTTCCTCAATCCCTGGTTCTGTTAACTAATTAAGAATCTGCCTTTTATGTGCTTTTACATTTAGCCCGCTGTAGTAAAGAGTTCCACAGATTCACAATCCTCAGAAGAAATACCTCCTCATCTCTGTCTTAAATGTGTGACCTCCTTATTCTGAGATTGCGTCCTCTGATTCTTCTATAAAGGGAAACAACCTAAGAATCTTGTATGACTCAATAAGGCTGGCTGTCATTCTTCAGAATTCCAATGAGTACAGTCCCAATTCTCTCAACCTCCTTTCAGAAGACAGTCCCCCCTCTACCTGTTATCAGCTTAGTGAACAAACCTTCTCTGGACTGCCTCCAATGCCAGTACTTTATTGTTTAGATAAGGTGCCGATTTTTAAAAAAAGAACTGTTCACAGGATTTCAGCTGTGGTCTGACTAGTGCCTTGTACGGTTTTAGCAAAACCGCTTTATTTTTATACTGCGATAACAAAGTATGGATCTGGACCCTTCTTGTCAGCTTTCCTGCTCCTCTGATGCTGCCTAGCCTGCTGTGGTCCTCCAGGTCCACGCTTTATCTCTGACTCCAACATCTGCACTTCTTGCTATTTCTACTTGTATACTGCATTCCCTTTGAAATAATGCCCAACATTCCTTTTGCCTTCCTTACTACTCATTGCACTTGGATGCTAGTTTTTTGTGATCTTTCAGTGCTGCAGCTTTCAGTAATTTTTCTCCATTCAGTTAATATTCACCTGTTCTATTCTTCCTGCCAAAGTGCATAATCTGACATTTTCCTGCATTAAATTCCATCTCCCAGGTTTTTACTCATTTGTCCTGTCTATACCCCTCTGCAGATTCTTTGTATCAGCCTCACCACTTGCCTTCCTAGTTATTCTGTGTCATCTGCAAACTTGGCTTGTTCGTACAATTGACAAATGAAAAAAATATTTTTGTGTTTATAAATGACTTGATGATTGCGCATAATGTTGTCTGAGAACAGATGAAGTCACACTTAGATACATGAATGAACAATGTAGTGATGATGAAACCCACCAGGACACTGGTATTTTGACTTGATATGTTGATTATGAATTCTGTTGAAGTGAGTTGCTGATTTTAGTTAATGTCAGGAAT